CAGTATGAGAAAGCAGTTCACATGCTTTGTCTCTAAATCTGAACTGCCCAGGTAAACTATAGTTATATGACTGAGGTAAGAGGGAAGCTTGTCCCAAACTGGTACTGTGTCTGTTGTGTGACTGAACTATTGAACCTTATTTATATCAATGCACATTTTTTTTAATGATATTTCAGATCCAATTGCACGCAGTAGCATTAACAATCCAACGTACAAGTTCAGTGCTCTGCACAAGTACAAAGTTGGATGCTTTTGAACAGCCCAGGCACAATCAAAACGATTGTAGACTAGCAGCCACACAGTAAATACAGTTATGCTCCATTAGCGAGAGCTGTGTTAAGTAAAGAAATTAGGAAGAAACTTGTGACGCTCTTTAATCCATTCCTTATGTTAATTAAGACAAGGAACTTGTTAAGAATATCTCAAAATGTACCCCAATATGTCAACCTCTGCATTGAGTTCATAAGGAAATTTGGGTTTAGTGGCACAAAACAGATATTGTGATCCACATACAACAACAACAAAATTACATTTGAAAGGCACCTTTTACGTCGGGAGGATGTCCCAGGGTGCTGGACAATCAGCGTTTCAGATCCGATCTGGGGGTCGGGGATGGGGAGGGTGGAGGGCAATGGGGAAGCAGGGTGTTCGAAAGCACGGTTGAAGAGGAGGGTCTTGAGATGGGTCTTGAAGGAGGTAAGGGAGAAGGCGAGGTGCAGGGACTGTAGCATTGAGTTGCAGAGGGTGGGGACAGATTGGCTGAAGGCCCGCCCGCCAATAGTGGGGTGGGAGAGGTGAGGGATGTGAAGCAGGCCGAGGCCCGCTGAGCAGAGGGAGCGGGCAGGTTGGTCCCCTATGTGATAGGAAGCCAGGATACCAGTAGCCCTGGAGTCGAGGGTGGAGGCAGAGAGATAGAGTCACCCGCATACATGTGGAAGTTGACCCCGTGTCAGCGAATTATGTCGCCAAGAGGGAGCACATAGATAATGAAGAGGAGGGGACCAAGGACAGAGACCTGAGGAATGCTGCACAAGACAGTGTGGGGGCTAGAGGAGAAACCGTTTGAGAAGTTTGAAGTGGAGACGGTGGATGAAATAGATTTTCCCTCAATACAAAATACAATTTATTGTTATTAAGCCCTTTTCATGTCAGGAGGACATCTCGAAGAACTTCATAGAGCTAGCTGGGCACCCGAGCTGTGTGTGTGTGTGGGTGTGGGGGGGAGGTGGAGAGATGCCATTGGTGAAGCTGAAGAGGATAAGAGGATAGGTGGAGGGGAAAATTGACCAAAAGAGCCTTCAAAGAGATATATCTTAAGGTGGGCTTTCAAAGTAGAGAGGGAGGGAGTGAGGCAGAGGGATTCCATGTGTCAGCCTGGATAAGTGGTAGCATTCTCATCTCTTGAGTCAAAAGGTTGTGGGGTCAAGTCCCACAATGGACTTGGACTCACGAGATCTCAGGTGACGTTCCAGTCAGTGCTGGGGGGGTGTTGCATTGTCGGACATGCCATCCTTCAGATGAGACATTAAACGGACATCCCGTTTGCCTGTTCAGGTGGACATTAAAGAGAAGGGAGTTTCTCCTGGTGTCCTGGCATACAATCTCCCAAATAAAATTGGTCATCCACTTCATGGCTGTTTGTGGGACATTGCTGTGTGCAAACTGGCTGCCGCATTTCACCAACAAAACACACAGTCAAAACAACTTTACATTATATCCTGTGAAGTGATTTGAGACATCCCTAAGATGTGATAAGGCACCATATCAAATGTAAGGATTATTATTTTTATTCCAAGGTAAAGTTCCAGAGAGCAGGGGCAGACTGGCTTGATGCTCATCCAACTATCGGGCAGGGGAGATGAAACAAGCACTTCAATATTTTGACCTATGTCTCTGTTTGCAGGTTCTATCCTGCTCTGCTAATTGTTCGATGTAGGAAACAATGGAAAAGAAATGCATTGATGGAAACCTAAACTCAAAACAGGGAGAAATAATCTTGCATGGTCCGTGGATGAAGGCAGATTGTTGATTGCAGGAAAAGAATGTCTGTCTGTTTGTCTTTGCTGACTCTGTCTCCCTGTCAATCTATCATCAAATACAGTGTTTGCACTCAATACCTGCATTAACCTTAGAGGTTAATGTTACCAAAAGATTTGCAACAATATTAATCATAAATATCTGGAGAGGGAGGGAGGTAAAATATTTAATCCTAACAAAGCACTCATTATTTAAGAGAAGCACGTACTGTATTTTGGGAAAGACTTCCTCCAGAAATGTCATGATAAAAAAAACCTGGAGACATCAAAAAGGTCAAATTGTTGCTGGATACTGTATTGAAGTGGCTTTATTCTGTGTCATATATAATGGGCTCTGTGAATTAAGACGCAAGATTAGGCCTAAGCACTCAACTGTGCAAGACATATTTATCTAAGATCGTGGAAACATTAAGGCAAAACCCCAAGGGCAGATTTGTCCCATGTGCCATTAAAATTATTTCAGTTTGCGATTAATTGTCATTCCATTTTGAAAGTGGAAATCTCAAGAGAGTGCGAGAAAGAAAGAGGGAGAGAGGACCAAGTGACAAGAGAAATTAAAATATCATTGTTCCAAAGCATGACAATTCTCAGGCTCTCTCTCCTCACCTCTTTCCCCTCCCTCACCCTCTCTTCTCTTCACTCTCCCTCCCTCCCTCTCTCTCCACTTTCGCCCTAGTCCTTCCCCACGCTTCCCCTTCTCTTTCTCGCTGTTTTGTCATCACTCGCTTTTTTCTTTCTCTCTTTCTCTTCTTTCCTCCTTCTTTCTCTCCTGTCTCTCTCTCTCTCTCTCTCACCTCTTGAATAAATTGCCAGACAGCAATATCAATGGGAAGCTATGTGGTTAGACTCCAGCAGTTACCGCAACACACAGTCTGGGATCCCCAAGCCTAGGCTCTTGTCAACCTGTGCCTAATACTTTCCAGAATTAGGTAAGCAAGATGCGTCTCTCCAGGGAGAGAGTGCGCATTCCCTTCCAACAATCTATCTCTGGTGTTTCCATGTGTAGGTGGGATGCATGGAATTTCCGGCTTAGTTTGGATATGCTTAAGCATGGAGATGGGTTTCTGCATGTGTCAGACACCCGGATGACCAAAAAAAAGTTTTGAACTTTTTCTCACTTCCACTCTCTCTCGCTTTCTCCTTTCTTGACCTCTCTCTCTCTCTCTTTCCTTTTGTTTCTCACCTCCTGACTCTTTCTCTCTCTGTTCTCCCTATCTCTCTCCCCCATCTCTCATAGGGTGAAATAAATTCTGTACGACCCTTGAATTGTAAAGGATAAAGCACAATGCTTTTTGAGGGGCGAAAGAGAGTGACGAAAGACAGTGACGAGAAATGAAACTGTTCAGATCTAAAGTATAGTATTCTCAACAAGATGCATAAAGCATTTATTGTTCACAATATCTGCAGGTAAGCAGATGTGTGTTACACCAACCGGTGGAAACTACTGTGTCACAATCTATGTCCTGGGAATAGAGATAGTGGAGTCCTGTAGCTCAGTGGTTAGAGCACTCGCTTTGCAAGCGAGAGACCTGAGTTCAATTCCAGGCAGGGCGAAACCTTGGGCAAGTTTCCTTACTCCACACGCCTAATAATATTCCCTCCAAAACAAAAACAATAATAAATTGGTCATTTTCAATCTACGACTGTTTGTGGGACATTGCTGTGCGCAATTGGCTGCCGCGTTTGTCCACAAATATACAGTCAAATCACTTCACAGTATGTTCTGTGAAGCGCTTTGGGACGTCCTCCCGACGTGAAAAGCGCTATATCAAATGCAAAGATTATTATTATTAGTAGTAGTATTTGTAAATCCTCTTCGGGGGAGCATTAATAATAATAATAATACTTGCATTTGATATAGCGTTTTTCATGTCTTCTAGAAGTCTCAAAGCGCTTCACAGAATATACTGTAACATGAATTGACTGTATATTTGTGGGCAATGGAGCATGTGATGATTAGCACCAGTACATTCAGTGTAACCCCAGTACGTGTGGGTAAAGCTGAGAGACATTGAAATTTTTACGAGCAGGATTTGAATGGGCACGACCTTAAACAAGAGAATGTCAGCATGGGTTTTTGGTGAAATACTTTGCATGCAAAATCCTGAGTAGTCTAGAAAGATAACTCTACAATAATAATATTTACAATCTTTATAATAATCTTTACATTTGGTTTAGCGCCTTTCTCATCAGGAGGACGTCTCAAAGCACTTCACGTGATTCAAAGTAAAGCATAGCGACTGTGCATTTTGTGAATGAACCCGGCAGCCAATTTGCACACAGCAGTGTTCCACAAACAGCCATGAAGTGAGCGAGCATTTTTTTTCTGGAGGATTGCAACAACAGGCAAATGGTTGTGGCCCAGCGAGCCCCAGAGAGAAACAATCTTGAAACATCTAGTCTTCTCCGTGGAAACTTTGATATCCTTCATCTCAGCTGGCAAACAATAAGAGCCTTATCACTGACGTCGGGCTATCAATCTGCTCTCAGACATAGTGCAGCCCAGCCTCTCGGTTCTCATCCTGCCTGTGCTGCGAGTTTGCTTTGTTGTAAGTTACTTGCGACCAGACTTGACAGATCAGGGCTGCCTGTATATTTGCAGTAAAAGGAGTGGAGACACAGGGAACTCTTGCGTGCAGCAGGTATTGACATACAGCCCAGCTGTACAGCAATGAGCTATAACAAGCTATTTAGAACACCTTGGCAAATGTACACAATAAACAGAATGCCTCTCCTGCACTGTGGTATCCTGCCAGTACACTGAATAAAATAAGTCGCAGACGGTTTTGGTTAGGATTAGTCATGGAATTCCAAATCTACAGGTGTCTGGCTTCTTGCAAAATAACCAGATACTGTTGTAAAATGTTGTAGTTTTTTTTTACTGCATTAAAATGTGAAAAATACCACTGCTGCTTTTTTAATCCAGAGCAGATGAGTAATTGCTAGTTATTGGTTTTTCTACAGGTGGGAAGCTGGGAAGTGGAGCTCCTGCTCAGCCAGTTGTGGGGTCGGCCTGCAGACCAGGGATGTGATCTGTACACACCTGCTGTCTCGGGAGAGCAACGAGACCGTGGTCCTGGGTGATGAGAGTTGCATGCAGCCAAAGCCTGACCATGTGCAAGCCTGCAATCGCTTTGACTGCCTACCTGATTGGCACTCAGAAGGATGGCAAGAGGTAAACCGTCGCACTTTACACAGATACCACCGAATAGTGGTAGGATTTTCCAGTGCAGGAAATGACCATCTTCGTGTCCCAGCAGGCCTGAAGTTCCACTCAGGCTCAGGCTGTAGGATGGATCATCTTGTCTTAAACTTGCACAGATTTGGGGAAAATTCTTAAATTCAGTGATTAATTCAGAAACTGGCTTCTTTTTTTAAGGAAAAGAAAATAGAGGCAAGAAGATAGCGTACAACAACAGTAACAGCAACCTGCATGTAATTAGCATCCTTCATATAGGGTAACATCTCGGAGTGTTATGCAGAGTTGGTAGAACATGCAGTAGGGGGGGTGGAAGAAAAGGTCATGTAGGCACTCTGGGAGAAGTTGTGAGGCAGGACTTGAAGACAGAGAGTGAGGGGGAGAGACGGGGGGACAGGTGGGGTAGTATATTAACATCTTGCTATGTTTGGCAATGTTATATGTGGGGAGAGAACTGACCATTGTGTGGGGAGTGAACTTCTTAGTGTGTGGGGAGTGAACTGGTCAGTGTGTGGGGAGTGAACTGGCTTGTTGTGCACATGCACAGTTAATCCTGCTATCGATTGGGATTTCATGGATCCGGTACACCGGGTTTATATCAGTGCTGCTCTGTAATGTGAAATGGTTCACAATTTATTAGTTTATCGCTCACTCTTTATAGGTGAGTTGCCTAAGCGGTACCCAGATCTGTTCACTAAACTGAGAGAAACTGTGGTTGGTACACTTAAAAACATTGTCCCATTTTAATTCTATCGTAAATGGTCTTAGTAAAACCAATCTGTTTCTTAATTGTTGCAATGTGCTTTTTCTGCATTCCTTTTCAATTGAAGCTGGAATTCATTGTTTTCAACTACCTTGTGAAAGCTGTTAGATTTATTTATTTGGTTGTTTTGGTCCTAATGGGTTAAGCAGGCCTGTCCTCTGAAATGCTAACTAATAATCACAATCATTCTATCCGATATACCGCCTATAATGTTAGGAACATCTCAAAGAGCTTCACAAAGTTTCTCTAAAGTATAATGACTGTGTATTTTATAGCCAAATGTAGTAGCCGATTTGCACACAGCAATGTCCCACAAACAGCCATGAAGTGAATGACTGATTTTATTTGGGAATTTGGCCAGGACACTGTTGAGAAACTCCCTTTTCTTTTCAAATAATGCCATGGGATCAAAAGGGCAAAAGTGTAGGCAAGTTTCCTTATTCCACAAGCCTCTATTTACCTAGCAGTAAATAGGAACCAGAGCTGATTGATGGATCACTTTTCCGTTGATTGTTAGTTGATTGACGGATCACTTTTCCGGGAGTAATAAGAATCTCTCAGAGAGCAAAAGAAAAATAACGATTTGGTCACTTAATCCAAGACTGTTTGTGGGACACCGCTGTTCGCAATTAGCTGCCACATTTCGCCCACATAATACACAGTCACTACATTTTGCAGTACATCCTGTGAAGCAGTTTGAGACGTCTCAACAAAGTGACAAGGCACTATATCAAATGCAAGGATTATTATTATTATTATTATCTTTAACTTCCACCTGAACAGGCAGATAGAACCTTGGGTTTAATAAGGTTTCTATATCGCACCAATTCTCTTCGGTTGGCTTTTTACATTGGTAATCACTGGTGAGCTTGAAAATTGCTGAATTTAAAATGTTAATATTATAAACCTTACTAAGCCTCCGGTACCTTGGGGTCTTGTTTGACCTTCAACTATCCTTTCTACCCCACATCCATGCCATGACCCACTCTGCCTTCCCCCACCTCCGCAAAATCACCCAGCTCCGCCGTTGTCTCACACCGCAGGCCGACGAAAACCTCATACACACATTCATTACATCGAGGCTTGACTATGCAAGCCTATTGCTTGTTGGCCTCCCCAACTCCTCCCTCCATAGGCTGCAGATCATCCAGAACTCTACAGCCCGTGTCCTCTCCCGCATCAGGCTCTGTGATCCTATCACTCCCACCCTCGCCTGACTCCACTGGCTTCAAGTTCAAAATCCCGGTTCTCACCTTCAAAACCCTCCATGGTGTGGCTCAACGCCTACCTCTGCAACTTCCTAACCCCCTACCATCCTACCCGCTCCCTCTGCTCAACGGGCTCCAGCCTGCTCCACGTCCCCCGCCTCTCCCACCCCACCATTGGAAGGCCTTCTTCCAATCTCCCCCCACTCTCTGGACCTCCATCCCGCAGTCTCTCTCCCTTTAGGACATGCTTTAGGACATCCTCCCGACCTGAAAGGCTTTATACCAAATGTAGGAATTAACAATAATTAACCTACGCCGGGTCCCAGCTACACCTGCCTGCTTGTTGGCCACCTGGAACACCCTTTGTTCTGGGCCTACTCCGGTCCGCTTCCTGACCTATTCCTCAGATACATTGACAACTATGTTGGGGCTGCCTCCTGCTCTCGCAGTGAGCTGGAAAAATTCACCAATTTTGCTTCCACTATCCACCCCTCCATAACATTCACATGGTCCATTTCTGATTCTTTCCTTCCTCGACTTCACCATTTCCATCTCGGGGTATAGGTTATCTACAGATATCTTTTACAAGTCCTCCAACTCCCACAGTAACCTGGACTACACCTCCTCCCACTCCACCTCCTGTAAAGACTCCATTCCCTTTTCCCAGTTCCACCGCCTCTGCCACATCTGCTCTGATGATGTCACCTTTCACACCAGAGCAATTGAAATGTCCTCCTTTTTCCTCGACCGAGGATTCCCATCCACTGTAGTAGGCAGAGCCCTTGCCCGTGTCCGCCCTATTTCCTGCACCTCTGCCATCACCCCTCCCCCTCTTTCCAGAACCATTATAGGGTCCCCCTAGTCCTCACCTTCCACTCCACCAGCCTCAACATCCAACAAATAATTCTCCACCATTTCTGGCACCTCCAGCATGACGCAACCACCAAACATATTTTTCCCTCCCCTTCCGTCTCAGCATTCTGAAGGGACCGCTCCATCCGTGACTCCCTGGTTCATTCCTCCATCACCACCAACAGTTGTTTGTGGAGTCCTGTAGCTCAGTAGTTAGAGCACTCGCTTTGCAAGTGAGAGACCTGAGTTCAATTCCAGGCAGAGGGCGAAACCTTGGGCAAGTTTCCTTACTCCACACGCCTAATAATAATCCCTCCAAAACCAATAATAAAAAAAATTGCTCATTTTCAATCTACGACTGTTTGTGGGACATTGCTGTGCGCAATTGGCTGCCGCGTTCGCCCACAAATATACAGTCAATTCACTTTACAGTGTGTTCTGTGAAGCGCTTTGGGACATCCTCCTGACGTGAAAAGCGCTATATCAAATGCGAGGATTATTATTATTATTTTTATTATTATTATTGTTCTGCTCCCCCTGGCACCTTCCCAGGCCAGCGCAGGAGATGCAATACCTGCCCTTTCACCTCCTCCCATATCAATGTCCAGGGCCCCAAACACAGTTTCCAAGTGAGACAACGATTTACATGTACTACCACCAATGTAGTTTACACCATTCGTTGCTCACGATTTGGTCTCCTCTACATTGGGGAGACCAAACGCAGATTGGGTGACCGATTTGCTGAACACTTCCGTTCTGTCTGCAAGCACAACCCTGAGCTTCCGGTTTCTTGCCACTTCAACTCTCCCTCCCACTCACACTCAGACCTCTCCATCCGCAGCCTCCTACGCTATTGGAACAACTCACCTCCCCCTTATTAACATCATTTTCCCCTGCTTTGTTGCAAGCTCCCCTTTGTTTTGCATCATTAACACCTCTTTAACCCATCATCCCCTGCCCCTTACCCCATTTTTTCCTTTGTCTTCCTTGATCTGCCTCCCCTCTGTCTGTTAGTTTTTAAAAGCCTCTCCCTTCCAAAATTCCCCAGTTTTGACGAAGGGTCATGGACCTGAAACGTTGACTCACTTTCCATTCTCCATAGATGCTGCCTGACCTGCTGAGTGTTCCCAGCGACTTCTGTTTTTGTAGGAATTATTGTTATTGTAATGTCTCATTCTACTGTCTGTAGAATAGTGCTGCATGATAATAGTTCATGCGTTACGTGATATATGGTGACATACATGAGCCAAATCCTATTGAGAAAAACTTACCATAATTTGGAAGATGCTATTTTCAGTTTTCCCACAGTCTGTTAGCCAAAGTGAACTTGAATCTCATTAAATGGCCAAATATGTCAGTGTAAATGATGGTGGTTTCCAGGTGAGTAAGTAGAATATAAAACATCAAGGAACACATGGGAGTGCCTGAACATTCTGTGAAGGAGACATGAAAATTAACAGAGCAATGTTTTCTCAAAGAAAGAGGAACCCCTCAAAAAATCGCAGACATTGCTTTACCAAAGGGCATTTAGGGACACAATGCTTACTGAGAGAAATGTCTTTCTTTTTGACACACACAGGCACATAACTGGTTCTTTGTTAATATTCGATGCGGTTTGTTTGCAACACAAGATTTTTGCAGAATTCACCAGACACTCACTGTGAAATGTTACAGCTCAGCACAATCACTTCTGCTCACACGTTTGTGTAGTGATTAAAACAAAGCCTGACTGCCTTAGCAAAAGAGCTGCAGAGCTACTCCTGTTATTAACCACGAGGGAGCAAAATTATGGACACTGTTGGAAAACTTAGCCCGGTCGATCGCTGCCCGGGCCTGCCCACGTTAATACTCCATCTTAGCTGACACAAAAAATTGTCACAAATTAATGGCAGTAAGCTAGCCATGAGCTGAAAGATGATAGGGAATTGTTGTTGAGATTGTGCAGTCGAGTGGTGCCGTTAACGGTAAGGATTTAGATGGATAAAGGGCAACCAGTTAAGGCCAAAGATGTGGAGATTAGCCACCTGCCTGGTGCATGTTACTCAGACACTGGATATTGCCATCATTACGCATTGTTTAATTCCATTTTTTAAAATTCTAATCTGTTTCTTTTCCTGTGAACATTAATCTTATTTTCCATATCCTACCCAAACAAACACTTTAACATATATGTTCAGAAGAGAAATTGCTTTGCTTTATAACATACCCGCACACACACTTCTTTACTGGTTGTGTTTAGGTCGATTGTGTAAGTTACTGTAATCAGATGAGATGTCATTTGAGAGAGTTGTTTGATCACAAGCCCAATGCTATGCAAAATACACACCAGTGGATAGCAGTAACACATGTTATCCACATCGATTACATTTTAATTCTAACCTATAGTACGGAAAAGAAATAAAACAATGTCAGCTTTATAATATCAAACACATACTGTAGCTGAATAACAGATGTGATGGGACATGGTAATCGTTGGGCTGAAGGCTTTACAGCTCAGCCTGTTCACAGTCCATTATCTGTAAATCTCATTGACATTCGGATTGGTCTGTCCTCTGGAATTTGCTTCTCAAACCACTTTGCATTGCCATCTTCTCTCCCTGCCTTTAAAACCCTCCTCATCCAAACCTCCTGCATTTATCAAGCACATTGAGAGGCATTAATGTCTAATTGGTTGCTGCGTTTTGCCCACAAACATATACAGTCAATTCAATTTACAGTATGTTCTTTGAGAAGTCTAGAAGATGTAATCAGGAGCTATATCCAATGTAAGGGTTATTAGTATTATTATTATAAAAAGCAGTCTAGCAGCATCACTGCTGCCTGACCATTGTCACAAACACCCATCACATAAACTACATTTGCTCAACTCAATCCCTTGTGTATCAGGTAGTCAGTGAGACTTCAGCTCCAATGAGATCTCAGCTCTGAGCCAAAGTCTATTGTATCTGCAATCCCATCCGAATGGTTTCGGATGCCATGGTTGGTAGTTGGCCAATCTGATTGGCTCCAATACTGTATGAGTGCTAATAACAAATCCTTGCATTTCACATTGGGAGGATGTCTCAAAACCACATTGTAAAGTATAGTAGTGTAGTGTATTTTTGTAGGCTATTAACAGACTTGCATACAGCAATGCCCCACACACAGCCGTGAAGTGAATGACCATTTTTATCTGGGGGATTGTTGACCCTTAGGGACCACTGAGAGAAACTCCTTTCTCTTTTTGAATAGTGTCATGGGATCTCTAATTCCACCTGAACGAGAGGAGAGGACCTCAGTTTAACGACTCATCTGAATGACAGGACCTTCCACAACACTGTATTGGAGTGTCAGCCCAGATTGTGAGTTTACAATCCCAATTTAGGGGTTTGAACTCACAACCTTGAACACACAGCCTTGATTAAGGCTGACAACTCATCACTATGAAAAGGGAACAAGAAAAGAATATAAAAGGATAGAGTATGAGGAAATGAGTGGGACTAAACGGAAAGCTCTTTCAGATAGCTGGCACAAGCACGATGGGCTGAATGGGCTGTAAAATTCTATGATTAGTGTGAATTGGAAGTGTGGACATGTTCTCAATTCTGCCAGTATTAACTGGGTAGATAAATGCTGTGAAAATATAAGACTGGTAAGTTAACGTTAAGATGATATTTCTCTGTAGCTTATCTATTTACCAGGGTATGATTGGGATAGGGGGAAGGGAAGCATTTGGCAATATCCCACTGAAGAATTCAGGATAATTGTACTCTTTGCTATAACGTTTGTAAAATAAATTTTCTTTTGTACACAAGTGTTCTCGCAGCTGTGGAGGTGGTGTTCAGGTGCAACAACTCCTGTGCAAACAGAGAAAGGCCGATGGCAGCTTCTTGGATCTAAGACAGGAATTGTGCTCATCCCCCAAACCGAATACCCAGAAAATCTGTGGGATTGTAGACTGCCCTGCTGAATGGTGGCCTCTTAAATGGTTACAGGTAGGACTACCAACTGTAGGCCTGGAATTCAATCTAGCATGCAAAACCATTTTGTCCTAAAGCTTATTGTGACACAGAAGTGAGGAAAATTCTTAAAATATGGTCTTTATTTGGAAGCCCGATTGTGGAATACTATCTTCCAAATAATGGCTGAAATTAAGAATTTTCTCACAATTCTGCATCACATTAAAATTTAAGGCAAAATTGGCAAATAGGCTAAGACTAAGTGAAAATTTGGGATTCTGTATATTTGAGTTGGTTATTGGAGACGTGGCTGCCTACATTTACATTGATCACATTTTTTGTATAACTTATGGGTCTTCCAACAATGCAGCATAACCCCAGCACTGCATCAGAGGGTCAGCCTCACCATAAAAGTTCGAAGTTCTGACATGCGATTTGAACCCACAACCTATTGAGAAGCAAAAATTCTTTCAACTAAACCAGGCTAACATGTATACGTCAAGAATGAGAGCTCTTTTCAAAACTCTCCTTTGAAGACACTCACTACTGTGTCAGTAGCTCCTCAGCACTCAGACTGATGTTTCCTGAATGAAAACAGTGGCTTTCAGTTTTTACTGGCTGCAGAGGTATGGCGTGTAACTTTACCGTCCTTTCCGTGTGTGACCAGTGCTCCAGGACCTGTGGTGAGGGCGTGCAGAGGCGTGACATGGTGTGCACGAAAATGCTCAAAGATGGAGTTTCTATCTCTGTGAATTCCTCAGATTGTTACAGTCTCCCTCGTCCTGCAATGGTCAGGGCTTGCTCTGTAGCGCCTTGCACAAGTAAGTAATCCTTGCATTCAGTATAGCATCTTATAGCATAGCATCAAAATATCTCAAAGCACTTAACAGGATTTACTATAAAGTATATTTTATAGGTGAATGCTACAGCCAATTTGTGCACAGCAATGTCCCATAAAAAGCCATGATGTGAATGACCAATTATATTTGAGGGATTGATGGCCAGGACACCAGGAGAGACTCCCTTCCATTTTCCAATAGTGCCGTGGGAATAGAATGATTTGCCATAGCAGCTGATGTTTTAAAATAAAAGAACGTTTTGACAGCATGATCAATTTCTCCAATGATTTTGAATATGAGGATATTCATACCAAAACCTTTGGATCCTTCACTTGTTTCAATGCTTGTGATGTGATGTGATGTGATGTGATGATTATCAACAGTTGCTGGTTCATTATAAGCCAGTAAATCATGAAGCAGCATTGTGATCACTAAAACAAACAATTGCAGCAGTGGTCAGAATATTTGAATCGATTTCAGAACCAGCTATTGTGGCAAAGTAATGTGACTGTCACGATTCCGAGCAGTGTCTGATTTCAGCTTATCGAATGCCTATCATAGCGCCCTATGTTAATAAGGGGACTTGCACCTTCATCTAAGTGACTTCCTGTAGCTTCAAATGATACACTCAGACTGCCTGGATTGGTCAGAGAAAAACTGGGAGTATTTTACCTAAACCCCAGTATCTTGCATTGTTTCATTAACGGGATACATGAGTTGTCCAAAGATGTTCAGCTGGCATCTTGGAATTCATCTTTAGGACTTATGCCACAGGCCATGATGTGAATCATGTTCGCCCCTGATTCATTCAATGTGATCAATATGATACAGACCACAAATTTGACTCAAGTGTTGGGCAGAGAGAGAGAGAGAGAGTAGAGCATGGTCCATTTCAGAGTAGTGGCGTTATTCTTAACATCCCTCAACTCAATGTGCAGTAAAACACATTTATAAATATATTGGTGGAAAATCTCAATGTCTGGTTCCCCAAGATTTAATTTGCTTTTAATTTCTGTGTCTATTTTGGCATCTAGGGCAGAACAGGAAGGAATACAAGCCCATTTCAAGTGCGGGACCTCATATCCTGGCTCTTCGTAAAGTATATATCCAGTTAAGGAAAGAGAAAAAGCTTCAATTCACAATCGGTGGGTATGCGTACCTGCTCCCGAAAACTTCTGTGGTCATCAGATGTCCTGTCCGAAGGGTCAGAAAATCAATGATAACATGGCAGAAAGATGGAAAACCTCTATCAAGCTCATCCCATGTTATGGTCACTCATTTTGGTTACATCAAGATAAATCGCCTGAAACCAGTAAACATAGGCACCTATACATGCGTGGCGGGACCTGTACGTGAAAACTTTGTGATCAAATTATTTGGAAGCAACAACAAACTGATCGAATTTCCATCATCAAATAAACAGGAGGGAATTATTGGGAAAGGAATCTTAAATGAGGCAGTCAGCCCCAAAGAAAACGGCAGCAAGTCCAATAAAAATGGGTTCTTCCTTAACCACAACAACCCATATGACAGTATTATCCTGAAACTCCTTGAGATGAAAGGTTGGTCCAGGGATCGCCTGGATTCAAGAGAGTCACAGGAATCGATCGAGAAGGATTTCATCTCTGAGGAGGATCACAACCTGGAGGCTGTTGTTCCATTAACATATACAATAGATCAAGAAAGACTAGATGAAACTATCAGGATTCTGTCACAGCAAACCGATGAGCTGAAGGATGTGTATGCTACTCGTTTCATTGCACAGCTAAGCACTGAGATTGCCGGAGGCCAGCTGGATGGCAATGAATCCAAACCAAACACAGATTCCACTTTAGTGGAAACTATGTATCATAAAGCCACAATTGCTGGTCAAGGAACACCAAAACTATCCTCGGTGGACTTGCCCAGTTCTAAAGAATTCATTCACACAGCTAAGATGCCAGTAATTCTGCGGAAGACCAACGACAAAGGATTTCCATTGTCAGCAGAAGTGATTGCTTATGTGGGGCAAACGGTGCTGCTGGCTAGTTGGACACTAAGGCTCGTACTGAGGTGTGAAGCAGAAGGAATCCCACAGCCTGTTGTCAGCTGGGCAAAGAATGGACAAATATTGAAGTACAACAATAGGTAGGATATTCATTTTGATTATTGTGTAAATCAGGATGGTCCAATCTATTGGCTGCTGAGCACCAGATACCCTATTTGAGAAACGTCCATAGACTGCATAAGCCATAAATTTGTATTTCCCTTCCATAAGTATAGCATAACATTTACGAGTTATGGAGGGAGTGGGTGGGCCAGATGAAATGAAGGGGATGGGGTGTGCGAATGAAATCGACCTGCGGGACCACCCTGGCAAAAATTATTACTGTTTATAGCACATATTATTGTTAATTATTATCATTAATAATCATCCTTTCAAGTCAGGAGGACGTCTCAAGAGGGTTACAGGATATACTGTAAATATTATTATAATAATAATCCTTGCATTTGATATAGCGCCTTATCGTGTCTTCGAGATGTCTCAAAGCACTTGACAGGATATACTGTAAAGTGTAGTGACTGTGTGTTTTGTGGGAGAAACGTGGCAGCCAATTGTGCACGGCAGTGTCTCACAAAGTTGTGGATTGCGTGACCAATTTTTTTTGAGGGATATTCTATAAAGTGTAGTGACTTAAGTGTTTAGTGGGTGAACACAGCAGCCAATTCCCACACAGCAATGATCTATTTGTTGCTTTTCATGCTCTTAGTCCCTTTGCCTGCCAACATCACCAGGGCATTCTGCACTCCCTTGCTGACCATTTTTGTAACTAATTGGTTCAAACTCTACAAAGCCAGAAGTGACTTTACAGCATAAAATTATTTATTGACATACTTTTAAACAACTGTAAGTAAAAGCAAACATGTTAAAAAGTCTGGCTTTTTAAGCAAAAATCTTACAAATTCTATCTGTCTTCCCTGAGCGTGGTTGTTTGGGGGGTGGGGGTGAAATTTGAGAGATTTTGTGGTAATTATCACAATGAGTCTGTCAAGAAAAATCATAAATGTATCCCCTTAGGAACCATAGAAGCATCCATATTAATAGCACAGACAAAGGCCACTCAGACAATTGTGTCTGTGCTGTTCGTATTGTGTTGGAACACAAAACGTAACCTTTCTGTGGAGCTGGAATCCTCATAAGTAAAATTTGTTCTGAAATTGCATGGAAATTGATTTCTTTGAGCATTTTACTCCGCCTTACAGAGAGTCAGTACAGTAAAGCTATTCCAAGAACCAGACGCCCGTGGTATTTATCTTCAAGACCATTTTGCCTTAAAGTTTAGGGCAGAAATGTTGAAAATTCTTACATTCATTTTTAATTTAGAAGTCCATTCTTTTCAAGAACAGCGGAAAATCAGCTTCCAAATTGAAATCGAATTTATCCTAACCCTCAATTCTGAGTAATGTTCAAGTTTAAGGTAAAGTTAACTAGCAGTTTAAAACTAGGTGGAATTTTCGGGCTTTGGGGCCTGAAATTTCTCATGTTTTTAGCCAAAGACCATTGCAACTTGCATTTATATCGTGCTTTTGGTATTTGTGGAATCCTGTAGCTCAGTGGTTAGAGCACTCACTTTACAAGCGAGAGACCTGGGTTCAATTCCAGGCAGGGCGAAACCTTGGGCAAGTTTCCTTACTCCACACGCCTAATAATAAACCCTCCAAAAACCCAAAACAATAATAAATTGGTCATTTTCAATCTACGACTGTTTGTGGGACATTGCTGTGCGCAATTAGCTGCCGCGTTCGCCCACAAATATACAGTCAATTCACTTTACAGTGTGTTCTGTGAAGCGCTTTGGGACGTCCTCCCGACGTGAAAAGCGCTATTTCAAATGCAAGGATTATTATTATGATTATTATTTGGTTTGATCCTCAGCTTTTCTTCCTTCCTCATATTCAGTCGCTGGCTCTGTAAAGTGCTTTGAGAAATTTGACGTGATGAGGTGCTATATCAAATGCAAGGATTATTATTGTTATTAATCTCATGACTGATAAACCTAGGAATGAAGGATTGGTGTTATGCATTGTGTATCACTGGGATCAAATGGATGTACATAGATGAGAAGTTTTGTAAACCCAGAGCAGTGAGGAAAACAAGCAAAGTTTGTTATTTATGAACGACAATGCTGGTGATATGTTATTCCTTTCATGCTTTTCATTTCATTCCCATCAAAGATGTTACATGCAGAACATTTTAATCTGTATAGCCATATACTGTGGTGTGATGCATCTATCATTATTAGTACAATATGGGCAGCTTTCTGAAACAAGCATATCATGGGTTGAAGTATTGATTCTTTCAAACACAGATTAGATAGTTGTCTTTTCGCAAATAACATTCTGGGAATTAGTACATAGAGAGTTTGGGACATATGTGCATGCGACCGACAGGAAGGTGGAAAGCGATGGACCTTAGTCTTTTTTTGTGTAGCATTTCTTATGTTCTTGTGGGTTTTATTGCAATATTTTATGACTTAAACGGTTTTATGCAACCATGTGGTCCTTTTTATGTACTTACACAAGGTTATTAAGCAGATTTTTCAACGGGCCATTGAATAGTTTTAGGTCACTCTGGAGAAAAATAACCTGGCAGTCTCCATCCAATTGGGAAATCCAACGGATCCTGTGGTGGTGAATTAACAAGATTACTTTTGACTGCAGAGTTAGCAGCAGAGGAGCCGATAGTAATCAGAGACTTAATTGTTTTGCTTTGTATGTGAAGGCTTCTGCCAATAAAGGAAGATTGTAAAACATGGCCTTTAAAATTGTTATATTCCTGTAGTAATTAAAGAAATGGGATCTGTGTTTTTAAGGAGGTGTTTTTTCACTTAGCAAGGCTGCTGTTTGAGTCTTCCAAAGTGCAACTCAAACCATATTTGTGGAACGAAGGCATTTTGCTATCCTTCAGACAAAGCAAATCCTTAGTATAACATGATAAAAATAGTTATGTTGCATTTTGATGGCTTGTCAGTACTTCTGGACTAACACAAACCAGAAGAACATTTTGCAACTATCCTATCGGTTTGACAACTGAATGCTCATAATTCCCGAATGCAAATCTTAAGCCAATAATTCCTAGTCTTAGCTATTAGAACCATTTTCTTTTCAAATTTTTAACACCAGTCTTAATTTGGAAGCTGGTTCTTTTTTAAGAACTGTGGAAAACCAGCTTCCAAATTAAAGTGAATTTTGAGAATTTTCCACAATTCTACATGATCTTAATTTTTAAAACAAAGTGGTCTTTCAGGCAAAGCCTATGTGGAATTTCAGGCTAATTGTAACTAAAGTTGCTGATTTTACATAGAATCATGGAATCCGACAGCAGAGGAGGAGGCCATTCGGTCCATTGTGCCTGGACCGGCTCTTTGAAAGAGCTACTAACTAGTCCCAGTGCCTGCTCTTACCCCATAGCCCTGCAACTTTTCCCTTTTGAAAGCCATTATCAAATCTGCTTCCACCACTAAATAATTTTTTGGGTAAAAATCAATTCTCTTTGTCTTCCCTTTCTATTTGTCTTCTCCCTATCTACTCTATCAAAACCCCTCATCATTTTGAACACATCTATTAAATCTTCCCTCAAGTTTCTCTGCTCTAAGGAGAACAATCCCAGCCTCTCGATTGAAACTCTCTAGTTTAGCAACTTTTCTGTTATTTTCGTTTCATCTGTTCTACTTCAGAGAATTCCTACATTGATTTTAAACAGTCGTTTATGGGATGATGTTGAGATTTCTTTTGGGAAAGTGACTTTAAGGTGCTGCTTTTTCTTCCGTTTGCATAATGTTTGTATTCACATCAAAAATCCTTAATTAGTTGCATAACATTCTCTTTTCAAACAAGGGGAGACCTTTTCATTCAAAATTAACAAGAACAATAACTTACATTTGTATAGTACCTTTCACGTCAGGAAGACATCCAAAGTTCACTTTTAACCCTAACTCTATTTAAATTGTACTGCAGTGTTATTGTTTCACGAGAAGCGAATTCAAATGTATTTTTTTTCACAAAGAAATCATTGAGTAAAATTGTAGATAAAATTAAAGTGGAGTGAATGGTACTGCACTGGCTGCCTGTCCCAGAGAAGATTGACTTCAAGATCCTCACCCTTATCTTCAAATCCCTCCACTCCTCTGCACTCCCCTACCTCTCTGACCTCCTCTCTTCTCAAAACAGTGCCTGTTGCCTTCATTCCTCCAGGTCTGGCCTCCTCCTTGACCCCTGAGTTCTCCGCTCCACCCGCGGCGGCCGTGCCTTCAGCCACTATGCCCCGAGGCTCTGGAACTCCCTTCCTCACTCCCTTCGCCTCGCCCGCTCTCATCCTATTTTCAGGTCTCTGCTGAAGACCTTTCTTTTCAACCGCGCCTTTGGTCACCTTCCCCCCCTCCCACTGGCTCGGCCCCGGGATCCGTTACTGTGAAGTGCTCTGAGACACCTTCCGGTGTGGAGGGCGCTATATAAATCCCAGTTGTTGTTGTTGTTCGTAGCCATCTTGGCAAAAAAACATGCACACATTCGTAATGGTCGAAATATCAATTGGTGAAATATTGTTGCCTACAAAATAGTATTTTTTTCTAACCATTCACATAAATACTTTGTTTAAAAATGACTGTAAGCTCCACAATAGCTCAATGGGTAGATTCACCTTCTCTGGCACTAAGCCATATACATAAGGAAGATCCCAAGTTTAATTCTGATTCCTTGCTGAATAAGCTGATCTCAGTTAGGAACATGTCAGGAAGGCAACAAATAGCATCAGTATTGCTAGGTTAGTGAGCAGAAAAATCCATTAGGATTCGTATTCAACAGTGCATTGGAAAGTGTTAAGGCACGCTGATGTTTCTCAGGCCCGAAAGTAAAAAATGGCATTAAAACATGGAACACCCACACACTGCCTCCCCTTCATTCATTGCTGGTTCTGCCACCCCCATCTTACTAACAATGTTTTTATCTATGTTTTTATTCAATGTTAAACGAGTATGACAGCCTTTTCTCATTCCTGCTTTCTTCTATATTCTGCAGTGGCCTTTCCTAACTTTTGGCATTAATTACTGCCACTCTTGCCCCCTCCCCCAGATGTTACATATTACTTT